TGTGTGTGAGTGTTGGGGGTGGGGAGTCCTGGAGAATGGCAGGAGGTTGGTATGTCTTAATGGAGAGAAGGTGGAGAAAACAGCAGGGCCTGGGCTGGGTAGAGGGTTCAGCTGTGGGCTGGCTGCGTCAGAGGCACAACAGTCTGTGGCTCAGGGCTGCCATGTGGCCGGCCTCCACGTGCTGCTCTCTGAAGTCTGCGTGGAAGGCGCCGTGCGTGCTCTTTTAGTCCAGGCACCCAGGGCTGCTGCGGCCGTGGCTCTGGCGTTGCCATTGTGGCTAAACATGGCTAGCACCTGCAGCTGAGCAGGGCAAGCGCATAGCTTGAGTCTTGTCCGTGGGTTTCCCAAAACTTCCTTGGCCCACGTCTCCTGGTGTGGCATCATGGGAAACCCCAAGTTTTATACACGCGCTTCCAGAGATGTGCAGGGTAGGAGAAGGACCTCCTGTGAGCTGCCGAGGCTTCTCAGATGGACCTGCCAGCTGCTGGGTTGAGTGGCCGTGACTGGCGGGGTCGTTCGGCTCCTAGGAACCCCAGCTTCCTCACCTGTGAGGCGGGGAGAACACCTGCCCTGTTTCCGGGGGGAGCAGGCGGGCCGTCTGCAGGTCCTGGCTGCAGTGTCCAGTGCTGGCAGCATCCCTGTGGGTCCCCTCTGTGTCCGTGTGTACGGGTGCGCATGTGTGTGGGGCAGAGACAAACCCGGGTGCCACTCCTTGGACACCCTCCACCTTGTTGGGTGAGGCGGGGTCTTTCCCCCGCCTGGGGATTGCCGGCCTCGTTAAGCTGGCCAGTGGGCCTCAGGGATCCTCCTGTCTCTGCCTCCCCAGGGCTGGGGTCGCAAGTGTGCATCACCACCCCCAGCTTTTTATGTGGTTCCTGTCGATTGAGCTAGGGTTTAACCAATGGTGAGCGCTTTGCTTACTGAGCCGGATCCTCAGCCTCAGTCCTAGGATTCTTGATAGTTCTCTGTTCTGCGTTTACCCAGCCTCAGGCGTGTCTTCTCATCCAGAGCACTCATGTCCATTTTCACAGGAGTTACCGGAGTCTCCAGGCCTGAGGTCAAAGAGGGCTCCCTGGCTGCCCCCCTTGACCTCCCTGTGTCTGAATTTCCTGGGTTTTGGGGGCAACTGAAGCCTTGCCTTGGCAGTTAGATCAGATGCCCCGATGTTTGAGAAGCCATCTTGGCCCGGTCCTGGAAGGACGGGTCAGGTTCCAGTGGCCGGGCAGCGGTCGGCATGCTCACCAGTGGCGTGGTATTCTGAGAGGGGAGTTTCATACCTTGCCCACCGTGGGTTCTGCTCTCCTCCCACTGTCAAACATCACGGAGACACCAGAGAACAGGCTGTCGTGGGGGTGTCCCCTCGGGAATGTGCTGGTCCCCTGCCCGCCCGCCTGCAGACCGGCTGCCGCTGTACTTTTGGAGGTAGCTGTGCAGACCTGGATTGGTCAGATCTCTGTTTAGCCAGAAGATGCCACTGGCTGGCAGCAGCTGTCGTAGCCCAGGTCCCCTTCCTCAGGTGTGGCTGTGAGGACTTGCCCAGAGCTGGGAGCTGCCTCCTCACCTCGTGCTGGGAAGTGGCTCAGGGTGGGCCTGCCATGGGTGGTATTTCCTTGGGAACCGGGAGGAAGAGGAGGTCTTGAGGGTTGGGCCATCACTCTCAGGGTGGCCGTGGCAGGTCTGCTTTAGGCTATGCTAGCTGACATGCCAAATCTGCCAACCATGATCCTTCCCACATCAGGCCCCTGTGCTCAGATGCCAGCTTTGCCCCACTCAGGACCGACCCGTGGCCCTGAAGCACCACAAAACCCCAGTGGCCTTGCTTTACAGTCATTAGCTCTTTTCTTAGCGCTAGGACCCACCCTGGCCTCCTGCCTGGGAGTGTTCTGCACTGAGACTTTACAAACGAAGCGGAGCGGGCTGGAGCGGGCCGGAACCTTGGGTGGTTCGGGTAGCCGGCTTCCTGCGCAGTGACACCTCACAGCTGCCTTTTCTCAGACTGCTTCCTTTACTTTGAGGCTGCTGTAGGACCATCTCCACAGGTACAGAGGAGCAGGATTTGGGTTAACCTGACCTGGTTGTTCAGGCGGCTACGCCCTCCCCCTTCTACAGGAGAGGAGGGAGGCCCAGCGTCGGCTGCTGACCTTATGTGGGCTCCAGCAAAGCTCTGTCCTAGCTTGTCTCCTCTGACCATGGCCCCTCCTGGTCTCTGGTTCCAGTCACCTCTTCCCCACCTCCTACCATTGGTGCCAGCTGTTCCTTCTGAGTGTGGCCGAGCCTTGGCTGTTCTCCTTTAGTTGGACTCCCTGTGTCTTCCCTGTTTTAGCTCCCTGCCCTACGTCTGCATTTCCCCGTGGCAGGTGGTTCCGTGTTCCAGAGTGTTCCCTCTCTCCTGCGTTTTCCACCTGGAGCACCTGGAGGGTGAACCAGCCTCGCCCTCACCTGCATTCCCAGTCTTCCACCGTCCTCCCCAGGCATCTGTTTACCATCCAGCTGGTTTTCCCAGCTGAAGATGAGTCTTAGCACAAAAGCCTGAGCCCACCATCCTCTCGTATCCAGCTAGGTCTGCACGGAGCGGGGTGCATGGTTCCTGGGTTGCCAAGACTCCCGCTGCTCCTGAGTGGTCTATTGTTGTGGGTTCTCTGCTGGACGGGCCCACCTCACAGATGGCGTTGGAAACCCGCCCCGTTGGTTATTCATGTCTGTGCTTGCGAGTGAGGATGGGGTGGAGAGGTCTGCAGGACTGTGGGTCTTCCCTGTTCTGTGTGGCCTGCTGCTGTGCAAAGTTCAGCTGCCTAAAAGCCTGCTTGGTGGGCTGTGTGCGGAGGTTCGCGGTCAGCTTCACCTGCTTACAGTCACCCTGGACGCATACCTCCAGGTGTTCTGTGAGGTCGTCTCCAGAGGGGGTTCGCTAGGTGGAAGACCAACCCCGGATGTGGGTGGCCCCATTCTGTCGGCTGCAGTCCTGAGCTGAGGGAGAGGCAGACAGCGAGCCTTGCCTCAGTGTCCAGTTATCTCTGCCTTCTGATGGGGGTGTTTGTGCTCTGGCCAGTTCACCGCCCCACCACGAGGGATTGTCAGCCCAGAGACTTGTCAGTCTTTAAGTTGGTCCTTGTCAGACACTGGTCACAGCAGCAGGAAAAGCTCCCAACACACCACTGCAGGCTCTGCTGCAGCCCGTGTGAGCACATCCTGGGCCTGGAGCTGTGGAGGCCGGGGGTGAATCCAGGTCACCAGTGTGTAAAAGACTGCCGTCGCCCAGCCGGCCGAGTCATGTGCTGCAGGACTTGAGAGAGAACTTGCTAACACAGTGATAGGGGTTCTGACAAGGCACTGAGCATACAGGAAGTGACAGACAGGCCAACTCTGCCGGGAGGGGAAGAGGCAGCAGCACGCCAGAGAAGGGGTTATGGTCCAGCTGTGCTGGGGAGGGTGCTTGTGTATTTGTTGTGTCCACACAGGAGGGAGCACTGCTGAGGAGAAGCCAGGACTCTGATGGTTGTGCTCTCCCATGTCTCCTGTTCCTGGTACTCAAGGAATGGGTGGATGGATGGGTGGATGGGTGGATGGAAGAATGGATGGATGGATGGATGGATGGATGGATGGATGGATGGAAGGAAGGATGGATGGGTAGATGGATGGGTGGATGGATGGAAGGATGGATGGGTGGATGGAAGAATGGAAGGAAGGATGAATGGGTGGGTGGATGGATGTATAGATGGGAGGAAGGAATAATGGGTAGATGGATGGATGATGTATGGATGGAATGAAGGATGGGAGGAAGGAATAATGGGTAGATGGATGATGGATGAATGAAAGAATGCAAGGGAGGGAGGATAGATGGATGGATGGAAAGAAGGGTGAATGGATGGATGAAGGATAGAAGGAAGGAAGAATGGCTGGCTAGACGGACTGGTAGATGGATTAATATATTAAATGCAGGCTAGATTCTAAATGAGGGTTTGGTTATCTGGTAAACACAGAAGGAAGCAGTTGGGTGCATGGTAGCACTGGTTAAATGGTAGCTGGGTTGGCTCCAGAGTGAATGGTTGAGAGAAGACAGCCAGAGAAAGAGGGTGAGAGACCTGGCAGACAAAGGCTTGAGAATGCAGTTTCCCTTCCAGGCAGTGGGCACTCACAGGACCACTGCTGTGGGAAGGTCTCTGCAGTCAACACGCAGAGTTCTAAGCTTACAGTACTGCTCTGTGTGACGCAGTAACCGTGCGTGTTTATGGGGACGGTGTCACAGGTACATGTATGTACTGTGTAGTGATCCAGTTGTGCTGTTGGTGTAGCCATCACTTTAACATGCACCTTTATTTCGTGATGTTGGGACCCTTTAAAACCCTTGATACTAGTTGTTTTGAAATACACACTTAGTGACTGTCAGTCACAGTTGCCATAGGTACTGGCTAGTTTTATGCCAATGTAACATGAGTTACACTCATCCTAGAGGAGGGCACCTCAGTTAAGAAAACACCTGTAGAGCATTTTCTTAATGACTGGTTGATGGGAGGAGGGTCCAGCCCACAGTGGGCGGTGCTATCCCTGGACTGGTGTCCTGGGTTCTATAAGGAAGCAGTGGAGCGAGCCGTGGGGAGAGGCCAGTGAGCAGCATCCTCCGTGGCCTCTGCATCAGCGCCTGCCTCCAGGTCCCCGCTGGGCATGAGTGCCTGCCCGCACAGCTTCTGGTGACGAACTGTTGTGTAGAGCTGTGAGTGAAGTAAACCCTTTCCTCCCTGGCTTGCTTTGGTCATGGAGTTTCATCACAGCAACGGTGACCTACCCAGGACTCTACTTGGCTGTGCGGTGCTCTGAGATGTGCCAGGTGTCCGCCTGCTCTACTGAGCTCCTTAGACCCCTCACACCTCAGGGTTCCAAGTCATGAGAGTAGAGTCCTAATTGGAAAAGGCCCCCAATGTGCTGCGGCCTGGATTTTGCCTTGGCTTAGTAGTCCGGGGCGACAGCCAGGGTGGTCCTCACATCTGTCTTCCTCTCTCTAGACGTGTGCAACAGCACCGACCTTCCGGAAGTCGAGATCATCAGCCTGCTGCAGGAGCAGCTGCCCCACTACAGGCTGAGAGCCGACGCCATCTACGGCTACGACCACGATGACTGGCTGCACACGCCCCTCATTTCCCCAGACGCCAACATCGACCTCACCACCGAGCAGATTGAGGAGACGCTGAAATACTTCCGTAAGTAGCTGCCCCTGCTGCGGGCACAGAGGTGTGGCTGCTGATCCTACCTTGCAGGGCCCCAGGGCAGGTCTGCAGGAGTCACTGTGTCCTGGGCCTGCCGTCTGGGAGCGTGGACAAGGGGGTGTGGCCTTAGGGGCTAGCCATTTTCAGGTCCTCTTGGTCTGGATGAGTCGTGGGGACCAAGCGTTTTCATTTGAGCCATGCACAGTAACTTCAAGCTATCCTATTCCGGTTTTAATAGTTCCTTGTTCTACTTATTGTGCGTTATTTTCTATGTGTGCTTGCCTGCCTGTATGTGCCTCATGTTGCATGCAGTTCCTGAGAAGGCCAGAAGAGGGAGGTGGAGGCTTGTGAGCTGGAACTACAGGTGGTTGCCAGCTGTGGTGTGGGTGCTAGGAGCTGAGCCTGGGTGCTCTATAAGACCAACTAGTACTTTTAACTGCTGAGCCGTCTCTGTCTCTCCAGCCCCATCATTCCCCGAAGTTCCCACTGGGGGCGAGTCTGTTTGCATTTGAAAACAAAGTCACAAATCTAGGCAGCTCCTTCAGTGTAGACATAGCAAAGCAGGAGCCAAGGCTGGTGGTGTGGACAATGGCTCCCTGGATTCCACTGGTGCAGCAGAGTCATGCCACGGGATGGTAGAGCTGCTGCTTAGGGAGGGAAGGAGGGAGGGAGGGAGGGAAGGCACAGGGTACCACTTAAATGTATTACTAATGTTTATGCAAGTGACAGCTGCTTTTCATTCCTTCGTTCTCTCCTCCTCTTCCTCTCTCCTCCTTCAGGATCTTGCACATGCCAGGTGCTAGGCAAGTACCCTGCCAGTCTGCAGTGCACCCAGTCCTTAAAAGGGTGCCTTTTTTTTTTTTTTTTTTGGATAGAGTCTTACTATACTAGGTAGTCCAAGATAACCTGGAATTTTCTGTGTAGTCCAGGATGGTCTCAAATTCATGGTTATCCTCCTGCCTCAGCCTCCCAAATGCTGAGATTATAGGAGGCACCAGCATGCCAGGCAATTACACGCTGTTTTATTTTTTCCCACAGTACGACTGAATTCAGCATGCTCTGTCACGGAGCTATATCCATCCCTGTCGCTGTTCTTCAGAAATTCGCATGTTCTGGGGCAGGAGAGATGGTTACGCAGTTAAGAGAGATGGCTGCCCTCTTAACTGAGACCAGAGTTCAGTTCCCAGCACCTGTGTTGGGCAGCTCATAGCCACCCGTAGCGTCAGGGAATCTGATGCCCTCTTCTGGCCAGCGTGGGCACTGCACGCACAGACATGCCTAAGCATACACACTTTTGCGTCATTTAAAAGCTCTTAAGATGAAATTAACATCCTCTGTCAGTTACATATCTGTTCATTTCTCATTTGCATGCCCATATGTCATCATGTTACCTTAAAGACATGCCCCGGTCCCGCTTCTCTGACGGCCACTGAGCCCCAGCTTGTGGTACAGCCCTGAGCTTCCTGCAGTTATTTTTCACTGTGTAAGCAATCTTTTTAACTTCCAAGGCCACTTACAATAAAGAAGTTGGAACTATAACCCTCTGCTTTAGGGCGTGTGTGAGGCAATTCTCAGGTTCTCTGTATTGGACACTGATAAGAAAGGGATTATGCTTGAGTCGACCTGTGCGTTTACCTGGATGAGATCCACCCAGTGTCTTTGTGAGCACTGCTGATAACCTGTGTCAATAAGAACAAAAATAGAGTAATCCAGGCTCGGTGTGTCTCCTGTGCCTCACAGCGGGCCGGAGGTTCTCCCTGGGTCCATTCTGTTCTGTCAGGGCTTCTGCGCCAGCAAGGAATGTGCAGGGAAAGCAGTCACTTGTCTGTGGTTCTGTAGTTTTTCTGCTCTAGAAGTCCACAGTATAATTTGAAACAATTATTTTTGAGAAAGTCTGTCATGTGACTTGTCCTTCTCTTGGAACCTCGCTGTTGCCTCTGCCGTGGGAGGTTCCTGGTTCCTTCTTGCACACGTTGATTGACCACAGACATGCGCAGTGTGATTCAGTGTCACTCACGGCAGCTCTGACCACTACAGGACTGCCACAGAGCTGACGGGCATCCCTGTGAAGCAAGGCGGACCAGAGCACATTTCCCAACGTCTTTTTATCCAGACTCAAGCATGGCTGTGTCTCTCATTTGTTCTCAGTTACATGTGTAAGAAAACACAAAAGAAACCGTGACAGTCACCAGTGGGTACCACGGTGTGAATACAGCTGGAAGAACCGAAGTGAACACAGATCAGATCTCAAAAGTGCTTCAGGTTGAGTGTGTTCAGGTCTTTTGTTTGTCATTTCTTTCTGTGGGTTCTGTGCTTAGCGCTCGGTGGCTGTTTGTCAGTGTCTAGCAAGTGAGACTGAAGGGATGGCTCAGCAGGTGTGCAGAGGACCTGAGTTCAGCCCCCAGCGCCACACCAGGCAGCTCACAGAATCCAGGACTGACGCCCTCTTCTGGACTCTGCAGCACTCTTACACACACACATATAAAGAGAGAGGAAGGTAGACAGATTGATTTAAAGTACCTGTTCATTGAGTAGCCAGGCACTGACTTTGAAATGCGAGACTTAAACTGAAGTGCTGGCAGCTGGAAATGATCTGTAAAGAGAATTTAGAGTTCTGTGAACTTAGTTATTTTCGTGAACTTCCAACTGAAATATAACATTCCCACTGGTCAGACTGGAAGAGCAGGCGGGGTCTCTGCAGCAGGCTATGCTGCCAGTAGAAGGCAGAGAAACTTAGATGCTGTAGGCTTCGGGCAGGCAGCAAACCCTGCCTCTGCCTGTCACCAGATGTCGGCCTCGATCTGCGCAGTGGACCTTGCTGTTTAACGGTGTTCATAAGCAGCTCTTATGTCACCAGCTTTGGCTTTCTTGGCTTTCAGCGGCTGCACAGATGCAGCTGTTTCCCTTTGCAGGAACAGAAGTGCAGGCTGTGTGTAGAGGCGGCCCGCTCTGTGTGTGCTGTCCTGCTCTGTGTCCTGCTCTGTGTCCTGCTCTGAGTGTGCTGCCCCGCTCTGTGTCCTGCTCTGAGTGTGCTGCCCCGCTCTGTGTGTGCTGT